ACATCACAACATCAAAATCACACATCTAATTATTTATCAATTACATAAACATTACATCATTAATTATTTAATTAACCAAAAAAATTACATTTTTATTAATAACAAATTAATTCTTAAACAAAACTATTAAATATAAATTACGCAAACGTGCATTGCACGTTGCTTGCACCTAGTTTAAAAACAACTGTCTATATGATAGTGGATCGCTATTACGTTCTTCAATAAAATTGAAATATATTGTTATTCATTGTACTATGAGACAATGACCACATTACTACATAGACGGTTGTTTGTAAGCATTGGCTATGAATAAATTAATCTAAAAGTTAGGTTCAACGAATGAGTTCTCCAGCATTTTATGTGGTGTGGTTATAGGCTCCGAATCTTCAAAAATGAGTTCTTCAACCTTTCACGTGACTTAAAGTTAGAGGATAAAACTATCAAGCACTTAATTTTTTTTCTCTAGCTCAATGCTCAAATGAAAGTCATATGCAATTTTAACATTTATATCAACATTTTTAGTCACGTGGGTGCTCAGATTCACAAATTTAAATAGGTTGAAAATCTACAACTTCAATTTTGAAGATTGAAGACTCGTATCCACACCAACGCCACATGTTAAGGAGTCCAACCCTAGACATTCCAAATATAGAAAATCAAACCATAGTTAATTAACTCCAACCCCCACTAATAAGTACTCCTTCTCGTCCAACAAAGATAAGCTTGTTTTCTTTCTTGTGATGTACCCTTCTCTCTCTATATATTCCTCCTCGTCTACCAAAGTCCCCTCATTCATTAATTTCTTGTGTTTCAAGAAACTCAAGAGAATTACCGAGTGTTTGGCATTCAGATTTTAATTTGATGCACAAAAATGAGTTGCCATGGTTGTAGAATACTTCGTAAAGGCTGCAACGAAAATTGCATACTAAGACAAAGTTTGCAAGGCATTGAAAGTGCAGAAGCTCCAGCAAATACTACTGTTTTTGTCACCAAATTCTTCGGCTGCGCTATCCTCATGTCCTTCCTTTTCTTCCATCCCCAAGTCCGAAAGACCAAGTATGTGTTAAACTACCTCGTTTAAAAATTTAAATTGTCACCAACTAGTCATGTTTATGTTTTCAATACGTGCACAGTTTTCATAAGTTAGGTAATGTCATGTTGAATCACCTCGTTTAAAAAAATCATATAATGAGATGTTTTGTGAACTGCGGTGCTGTTTCAATCTTTACTATTCGAAGCGTGTGGAAGGATTGTTAATCCAGTTAATGGAGCGGGGTGGTTATTGTGGACAGTCAACTGACACGTGTGCCAATCAGCGGTAGAGACAGTTTTGTGTGGCAGCGTTTTACGTTCATCGCCGGAGTTTTTGGTGTAGATCTGTTTGATGAAAGATCAGAAGCTATAACGTGGATTTATATGAATCGCAAGATTTGAAATTGAGGCTTAAAAGGAAAGGACTTGAGTCAATACGGCAAATGATTTGGATCTTGGATTAAAAGCAGAATTTTCTACGAGAATGACGGCCGGCACTCGGCAGTAGGGTTAAACGGAGGACAGAGTCGGATGAGCCTGAAACGACGACGTTGGAGAGTAGTTTGATGCTTCATCAAGAATTACACCACCATAATGGACAGGAAACAGAGCTTTTGAGATTGTTTTTCTAAGTTTTCTAGATAAATATTTAATTAATTGGAGCCTGATTGTGAGTATTTTTATTTTATTTTCTGATCTTCTCACATTTTAATTTCTTTTTCTTCCAATTTTCGAGACATTCAGAGGTTTTAAGAAGAAATCGAAGTTTCTCTTGGGTCATGATCCATTTTTTATCTTCTCTAAATACACTGAAAGTATTGCTCGCTCTATGTTAGACTAAACATGACTCGATATAATCGATAAAATGACATAGTTTGCCTCGAGCCTGTGATTCAATTACAATAGCTGCACATTACAAGCTTGTTTGGTAGAAATTTTAATCCAATTAAAATTAAAAATATAACCGTTATTGGGTCTCACTCGTCTAATAAAGTCAACAATAACGACTAGTTTTTCAATTTTAATCCGATTTTAATGTCTACCAAACAAGCTCTACATGTATACATCAGTTCTTCATTTCCATGAAATGAGGATAAGGATATAAAAGAAAAAAGAAATGCTTGTATATTAGCTAATTAACGAGGAAATATAATTTCTTATTACTGTCCAATATCCAGAGTTCAGGACCAAGACATCAGTGTGATAACAAAATGCCAAAATGAATATCCAAGGCTCGACATCCAGTACCTTCGATGCAGCCTTCACTCGGTTGAAAGCTTAGTATAGTGTAGGCATCTAAATTCGACGGTCAAATAAGGTCAGCTGTTAAGGTCCGTCAGGCTGATGATACATGGATATTTTGTAATATATTTGTTCTGAGACTACTATCTTTGACCTGTTGGATTTTTATATGAAAGGAAAAATAATCAATCATTGATACAAAAAAAAAATTATCTCGGAGTTGAAGAAAAATGCATTTTACCTGCATGTCTGCTAACATGGATATAAGATCTGTGCATTGTTCGAGCAAGCTGTAACTTTCGCAAGTTCTGCCGTCATTTAATTTACTTCCTCAACCTGCAAAATGATTAATACGATTCGGGCACATGTCAGCTATGTAAATAGAACAGCTTTCAGCCGAAGATCAAATTGACACCCTTTCTTCTTTTTCTTCTAGCATAATAAGCAGTGACTTTGAACATTGTATGAGCAACTAATCCCGAGACTTTGTCGAATGAACTGAACTTGAGCTTTTTAGGATGAAGTATATGCTAAATAATGTACGAGAAAAAGTACCAAATCAGCTAGACACGGCGACAGTCTTGCGTCTATACGAGAATGGAGCTACTCCACCTAACAGTTTGCAACCCAAGGCCTAACAATTGTTATCAGAGCCATGCCCTAGACTAGCCATGAAGATGCACCAAATGAATCTTCAGACATGTCCAGAAGATTTGAACCAAGGTGTGGCCCCTAGTTAATCGTCATGGCAAGAGATATCGTGAAAGTGAACACTTAAAAGTGGAGAAGGCTCTTGTCACGAGAGTGATGAAATGGAGATGACTTAGATCTTGTGGTAGCGACAAGATGGAATGAAGAGTCACAACTTGATGGAGGCCATGATGATCGTTTGCGGGAAATAATGTGAGTTCATAAGATCACCGCTGGTAGAAATGAACATATTGATGACGTCATAGCCTGCATAACATCAACTGCTGAACTAATAACATCCCTCAAGCTCTGGATGTCAGCCTGTGAAAATAGAAAAAACATTGTTGACTAAGTCAAACGTGACAGGAATTTGTTTTCAACTTGAGAAACTGCTGAAACATTAGAAACAAAGCAACAAGTATCTTGAGACCATACAGTTGCTCCTCCAACGACTGGTAGACGAAAAGTGCTAGCCTTTAGAGATTTATTAGCTCCAAGCAAAGGGATGGACAGATCTTTATCCAGAGAACCCCAATCTTCTAAAAACGTCATCTGCAAGACGACAGAGGAAAATAAATACTCACATTCAATTAAATCACATAACAAGTGGGAATTCACAAACCAACCCCCAATTATGTTTCAGCAAAAACACAGTTAATATTATTTAAGAGGAAAACTTGTTATATACATATCATATAAATGAAGTTTTCTTATTAAGTTCTTGTTCTACATTTTCCATAACGTGTGCGAAAAGAGAAATATATGCACCAATTTTTTTAGTTATATCTTCTTGCGCCATGGAGCTTTTGAGAATCTTTCAAGACAAGAATATTATTAACTATACCTACAATAACTTGGGAGTAAATAGATATTACACGGTAGAACCAACCATATCTTACCTCTTTCAACTATGTCTTTTGCAGAGGTAACAGACACATTTTCAATACTATATGACTACAGGATTTCATTGTTTTATCAGGAAAGACAGCTATATGACTTGTAATTAAAGATGTGTAGATACTTGATCCAAATAGAGATTTGGAGGCATATATATATATACACATATTCCAGTAAAGAAAACCCAAATTTCTTCACTTTATTTGGAATATAATTGAAATGAAATAACAGTAGAGATTCCATTATCCCAAAATTAAAAGAAAAAGAAAAGACGATCAAAGAATTGGCCTTCTTTTTTTTTTTCTTTACCACTGCATTTATCAAAGAAAGCTGCATATTTCCAGTGCTAGAAAAAATTATCATAATTCCTTCTGTCCAATACAATTTAGAAACCATGCACTTAGTCATTTGTCTTTCCAACAAGACAACAAAGAAGCTAATTCAGATAATATCATGACATCCAGTATTTGACTCGTATATACGTCAGGGCCACAACAAAATTTAGCCCTTGTTTGATCCCCACTTTTTTCAAAATACATTTCTCTCTTTTCTTTTCAATCACACATTTTTTAATAAAATAATATTACATGCAACTGAAAAAATTTTCCTTCAATTTTAACCACACATTCTCCATCAATCCACCATTCCAAAATACATTCTACAACAAAAAATGGAGCACAAACAGTGGAGCTCAAACAGGCCCTTAATTTTTCTTGACAACAGAATTTCTACAAATTTTCAGCAAGAAAGAATAAAATAAGCAAAACAGACAATAAAGCGTCCAATTGCAAGTGTTAAAGCAAAAATGAGCGAGATTACATACATAGCTACAGAACCAGGAGAACAATATAAAGTTAAGAGTTACCTCTGTTTGATAAATTCATTCAGATGTAGAACAAAGCCTGAAAAAATGTCAGTCATACGACTATCCAACATGATAGTAATAGGCTAATAGCAAAACTCAAATCCTCCTTTTTTCTCCCTTGACCCTTTTAGAGAAACGTTTTTTAGGACCTAACTGAACTTCACGAAGCATTTGTGTCCAAAGTTCTTCAAATTGGTTACAAAACCCTTCTTGAAACCAATCCCGAATTTCTGAAAACAATTCTGTAGGATCATCATTCCACAACTTCTTTAGCATGGCACAACTGTCAACAATTCTTCCCCTTGTACTTAATTTATTTAACAGATTACCAACTCGTTTGAGACCTGATGCTTCCGGCTTCAAAATGCTAGCTGGTGAGGCTGCCATGAACTTTCGGACAGCTTTTAGGCATGGCAAAACCTGTCCTTCAAGTAATGAAAAAGCAAACACAGCCACCCGAATTGCATCTTCTTTGATGGGCAAACCATGAAGAGGGAGTGGCCATAGATGAGGGCGAAAAGTTGGAGCAACCCACGAGAAAACTTGGTCAGCTACACGGTCATAATATGGTTTCGGATCTGAAAGGGGGGCAGAAAAGATACATGATGATCGAGCGTATTTAACCAGCCAATTTGATTTCACACTTGTTGCTCCATGAATATATGGCCTTTTTGTAGATAATAATTCACTATAGACTAGAAATTCAGGTGGAGATTTAGAAACAGACGAGCAACGATGGAGGAATACTGTTTCTTTGACCATGCAAGCTTGATATCTCGCTGCATTAACTTTTCTATCTCCCTCAGACAGCACTGAAACTCCTTTAATGCGTTTAGCAACCCTATCGGCCCAGCCAGCACAGATAGCCCGCCCCAAAATGTCCTCCTCATTCAGTAGAAGAGGGTGTTTATTGAAAGAAACCCTCCAAGCACTTTCTACATCCTGCATAATCCCATGAGTCCAAGAGAATTCTCGTTGGAAATCACTACAATCGGAGCTAAACACTAGTTGAAGAAGCTGCTTTCTCAGCTTGGACATTTCTTCCATTGTCTTGTAGTGCAATCCATTGTCACTACAGAATTCTACTGGGTTTTCAGAGAGTTCAAAGCACTGCAGCACATAAGCTATGGTTAAAGCATCACTTGTGGGGTTACAAAATTTAGCACGAGATAATTTAGCAGTTTCTTTAAGTTTCTTTTTCCTCAACTTTTCTTCCTTGTCTGGAATTTTCTCACTATAATCTTGCTTCAAATCATCTGTATCATCGTGGCTTGCTTCAAACAGCATAATGAAAGGATTTGACAAGCTCAAAGCTGCAGCTGCTGCAACAGCATAGCCCAGTACGAGATTTGCTCGGGCATAATCTTTCACTTCATGCATGATTTGAATAACCGTAAGAAGCATTCTGGAGTGGCGAGGACTCATTGGATAGCGTGCCATTGCCTTCCCTAGTGGTGTCAACCTACCTTCATTATCGAGCGCCTCAAGAGCCTTCAGACAAAGCTCTGCTTCATCAAATGCACTGTCCTCCGGAGGGGTTGGAAATGGGAAATGCTTAACCTGAGATTTTAGTAAAATATGAGGTTTATGGAACATGTAAATTGTATGAAATAGAGCTGAAGCAAATAAACAAAGCAAACAGCAGAAAAAGGTTACTCAGAAGCAAGGACACGTTCCGGACGACAACGTATCGGTGTCCGACACGTATCTGACACCGGTACGCCTCCGACATGTCGCCGACGCGTATCGGAGTTCCTTGCAGCGTGTTGGAGGCGAGAAATGAAGAAAAAATGAAAAAGTAAATGCGGCGGCTTACTTGAAGAAATCCGGTGACTGGCGGCGACTAGTGTGATGAAAGGTGAAGAAGAATGAAATGCTGGGGAAGAAAAGTTCCGATCGGGTTCTACAGTCCTGGAGAAGGAAGGAAAGAGAGAGGAGAACTGATGGGCAGCTTTTTTCCTTGGGAAGGAAAGAAAAAGAGAGAAAAGAGGAAGAAACTGTTGGGCAGGGGAATGCAAAAGGCTGCAAGAGGAAAATGACAAGTCATGCATTTGTCAATGCACTTCTAAAATTTCTGTTTGTATGTATGTGTTGGACGTATTTTGACTGTTCCAGCCATATTTTTTGATAAAAAATATGTAAAACTTTATTTTAATCAAATTTTAACCACTTTGACATTCAAAAAATAAATGTATATAACAGAGTCTTCCTCGTAATAACATATGAAAATTGCAAGAGAAATTCAAAAAATTCGCTTAAATTTTCCTTTTTTTAATTATATATATATATGATACAATAAGTATAAAAAATTATTACTTTAAATTATCAAATTAAAATAAACTAAAAAAATATTATTTTAGTCAAGGAAGACGTATCGTGTTGGAACTTTTTCAAAAAATCGCGTGTCGACGTGTCCGACACTCATGTCCGTGTTGGTGCTTCTTAGACGGTGCCTATATTTCTAATTGCACAGAAAAGAAAATGAAATGGAAAGACAAATAATATAAGCCAACCCAAAAAGACTTACCTTGCCAATACACATGGATTTCATGAGAAGAACAACACCATCAACTGGTACTTTCAATATTTCAGCACATGAGAATTCAAGAAATATGTCATTGAAGACTGCAGAGGAATAGAGGCGATAACAATGTCCAGGCCCAGTTCTTCCAGCTCTTCCAGCACGTTGAGCAGCAGAAGCCTTGCTTATCCACTGTATCTCATATGTTTCCATTCCATTAGAGGAGTTGTAATTCTTGACCTTTTCTCTTCCAGTGTCAACAACGTACTTTATCCCAGGGATAGTCAAAGAGGTTTCAGCCACATTAGTGGCAACAACAACTAGGCGCTCTCCTTCCTTGACCTCTTCAAAAACACAAAGCTGCGCTGATGCAGGAAGCATGGCATAAAGAGGCAGGATCCGCATTGGACCAGCACAAAGACACTTTCCTTCCCTGTTTCGCTGTCCCAAGATGGAACCGGTTTGCTTTGAGGTTCCTTCAGGATTGACAGGAACCTCAGAAACAGGGTCAGATGTTTTCTTCCATGCCAATGCTTCAAAAGATGCCTTCAATGAAGCAAGGCTTCCTTCATCTCCCAAAACATCTGCAAGGTTGCTATCAGACTCCAGAGACATTGGTTTCAACACATCACCCTCATCACTGTAGAATTCAAGATCGCTGTCATCCCCTGAATCATAAGACACATCAGACTCTACTTCAGATAGATTTCCTTGATTCTCAGTATGAGAGCCAAAACGATCCATAATGTCATGATCAGTGTTCCCTTGAAGTTCAAACGCCTCACTAATGTCCTTAATATCATTTTCTTCCAGAGGTTTTTCTTCGGAAACTGAAGACGATTCTTCATTTCCTTCCGATGCATTTTGAACTATTTCCTGAGAAGCTTTTCTTAGTTTCTTACACAGGTACTCTACCTCCCTCTGCCCAGTCACAAAAACAAGAATTCCCCCAGGCGGCAATCTCTTGTGAATTGATAATACTTTCTTATAGGCTTGGCCAATGTAATCTATGATCTCTGTCCTCTTGGAGAAGTGCATAGTAACTGGATACTGTCTAGTCGGGACTTCTATTACTGGTGGAGGATTATGAAATATTTTTGGTTGAAACACTACTCCATCATAATATTGGATGAAGCTCATGAGAGAAGCCTGAATACAGATATACTTATTGGGATG